ATGTGATCAACAATTTATAGATTGAAAAAAGGTTAATCCTCCATGAAAACACTCTCAATTCACACATGTAGAAAGAAAAAAAAGGCAAAACAAAAATAGAAGAAAATAGTTTAAAGAAAGAATCAAGAGATAAAAGAAAAATTGAATTGAAGCATAATTTTATTGTAATTGTTGTATTTTTTTTAGATCCTAAAGTGTTTATAAAAAGACTTTAAACACTACAAAAAATCGCGTATTATCGACGCATTTTTACCGACAGATTTGTAGCCGTCGGAAAATAATTATTACCGAACTGAAAATTACCGACCGGATATAAAATATTTGTAGAATTTGATCTTACCGACGGATATATCTCGTTGGTAAAATAATAATTAGTTACCGATGAATATATCCGTCAATAAATCCGTCGGTAATTTACAAATGAATTTACCGACGAATCCGTCGATAAATTAACAATTAATTACCGACGGATATATCCGTCGGTAAATTCATCTGTAAAATTAACAATTATTTACCGATGGATATTTCAGTCGGTAAACTAACAATTAGTTACCGATGGATATATCCGTCGGTAAAATTATATAATAATTACTTAGTATATTTCAATAATTTAATTATTTACTTAATTAAAAAATAAAATATTTTTTATTTAATAATTTAATTTAATCATAATTAGATTAATTTATAATAACTTATTAAATTAAATAATTTTAAAAAATAATATTTAATTATATATAAATATATAAAAATATTTAATTATATATAAATATATAAAAAATATGTAAAAATATTTAATTATGTATATAAATATATAAAAATATATAAAAATATATAAAAATATATAAAAATACAAAAATATATAAATATATAAATATATAAATATGTAAATATAAAAATATAAAAATATATAAATATATAAATATATAAATATATAAATATATAAATATATAAATATATAAATATATAAATATATAAATATATAAATATATAAATATATAAATATATATATATATATATATAATATATATATATATATATATATATATAAATATATAAAAATATAAATATATAAATATATAAAAATATAAATATATAAATATATAAAAATATAAATATATAAATATATAAATATATAAATATATAAATATATAAATATATAAATATATAAATATATAAATATATAAATATATAAATATATAAATATATAAATATATAAATATATAAATATATAAATATATAAATATATAAATATATAAATATATAAAAATATAAATATATAAAAATATAAATATATAAATATATAAATATATAAATATAATTTATTTGTAAATTATCATAAAAAAATTCTAGTAGCTTAGTGGTTGGAGTATCGGCCTCTAACTCTAAACTCTAAGGTATCGAGTACTGGATCCTGTCTGGGAAAATAATTAATAATAAATACTAAAAACTGTCAATCTGATAATAATTCAACTAAAAAATAATAATTCAAAAGTATAAAAATATAATCGGGGAAAATAATTAATAATAAATACCAAAAATAAAATAATATAAGGTATATTAATAATAATTCAAAAGTATAAAAATATACAAACCGAGTTGTCAGCTCGGACTTAGCTCGACATCCGAACTTCTCGACATCATCAATACTCCTTCTTCCTCAGTGTCCTCAAAGAGGAGGTTGATCGAAAAATATAATCGGGGAAAATAATTAATAATAAATACCAAAAATAAAATAATATAAGGTATATTAATAATAATTCAAAAGTATAAAAATATACAAACCGAGTTGTCAGCTCGGACTTAGCTACCGAGTTGTCAGCTCGGACTTAGCTACCGAGTTGTCAGCTCGGACTTAGCTCGACATCCGAACTTCTCGACATCATCAATACTCCTTCTTCCTCAGTGTCCTCAGAGAGGAGGTTGATCGTACTTCCCACATTTGTCTTCGGCCATGCCAGTTTTGTTGACTGACTTGCTCCTTGCCTGCTTGATATTTCATCCGATCTCATGAAGTATTGCAAGGAGCAAGGGATAAGAAGATTTCTGACAGCACCATATTCACTCCTAAGCTGAATGAGAAGACACCGCAAGAAATCTGGAGTGGAAGAAAACCGAGTGTGTCTCACCTTAAAGTGTTCGGTAGCATAGCTTATGGTCATGTTCCAGCTCAACAGAGGACCAAGCTCGAAGATAGAAGCAAAAAGTACGTGTTTATTGGGTATGATGAAAAAACCAAGGCGTACAGGTTGTTTAACCCAATAACTAAGAAGGTCATTATGAGCCGAGATGTTCAAATTGATGAAGAAAGCGAGTGGAGTTGGAACAACTCGGAGAAGGAGTCCATAGGAAGTAGAAGCTCAGAAGTTGATACACCACATACTGTGAGAGATCATGAGACTTCTGATGAAGAAGATGAACCTCTACAACCCAGAGCGCGAAGTTTACAAGATATATACAACTCCACTAACGAAGTGCATTTTGTATGTCTCTTGGCAGATTCAGAAGACTTAAGTTTTGAAGAGGTCGTGCAGGAGAAAAGGTGGAGAAAGGCAATGGACGAGGAGATCGGGGCAATAGAACGCAACAACACATGGGAGCTGACTGATTTGCCCAAAGGAGCGCGGCCTATCGACGTAAAGTGGGTATACAAGAAGAAGACAAATGTTGAAGGAGAAGTTGAGCGATATAAAGCTCGACTCGTAGTGAAGTGACACAAGCTGCAGATATGTTCACGAAGCCACTATCAACCACTCTGTTCGAGAACAACAAGAAGATGCTTGGAATGAAGGACAAGAAAAGCATTTAAGTTTACGGGGGGATTTTCTTAGGTAAACCTTAAATGCATGTAGTTGAGAGGTAGTGGTTATAGAGATAGTAGTTGAGAGGTAGTAGTTATATTGAATGTATGTAGTTGAGAGATAGTGGTTGTATTGAATATATGTAGTTGAAAGGTAGTAGTTGTATTAAATGCATGTAGTTGAGAGGCCATATCCAAATGCCTATAAATTGAACATGTATCACTCATTGCAACACATGGGAGCTGACTGATTTGCCCAAAGGAGCGCGGCCTATCGACGTAAAGTGGGTATACAAGAAGAAGACAAATGTTGAAGGAGAAGTTGAGCGATATAAAGCTCAACTCGTAGTGAAGTGACACAAGCTGCAGATATGTTCACGAAGCCACTGCCAACCACTCTGTTCGAGAACAACAAGAAGATGCTTGGAATGAAGGACAAGAAAATCATTTAAGTTTATGGGGGGATTTTGTTAGGTAAACCTTAAATGCATGTAGTTGAGAGGTAGTGGTTATAGAGATTGTAGTTGAGAGGTAGTAGTTATATTGAATGTATGTAGTTGAGAGATAGTAGTTGTATTGAATATATGTAGTTGAAAGGTAGTAGTTGTATTAAATGCATGTAGTTGAGAGACCATATCCAAGTGCCTATAAATTGAACATGTATCACTCATTGCAAACACATCAAGTGATAATATACAAAGTTCTTTATTTAGATACTTGTTTGTCAACAATTTCTTCTACAAGTAACATTTCTCAACTTGAAATGTAATAATCAGTAATTGATATTTTGGAAACTCTATTTGGTTTTGTTAGGTGACGCCATTGTGGATGATCATGGCTATAGGGACAATTTTTTGGACCACATTAAATAAGTAGAACTATGATGCTAATGCATGTTCTAGAACTTCCATTTTCAACAAATAGAAGGCAGGATTTCTCGGTTTAAAAAAAAAATAAAAAAAATACAGGAACAAGGAACTAAAAGCTCGTCGTATGTAACAATCTCATGGAATTGAAAAGTTGAGTTTCGAACTACTGTTGCTTAATTGTTGAGCTTGAAAATGAGTCAGCATTTGGATTAGTTTAAATGTTTAACAAGGTATAGAAAGAATATTTTAAAAAATGACTTATTTCGTATAATTTAAGTTTTTCATAACACATTACCGTCATGCTTTTACCTTAGGTCAATTTTAGGTGTCAATTAGAGCATATTTATTCTCAAGTTTGGCCCCATGGGTTAGTCGACTAAGGTTTTGCTTACATCATGTCAACCACTTTAATGTTAGTTAGAACCTCTCATCAACTTCTCCTCACCAAGTGTGTAAAGTCCCCAAATAGTGATAAATTTCCACGAAAGAAAAGTGTTGAAGTGTAAATATCTTTTATGGTTTTTTAATAAATTAAAATTGTTTTATGTAAAATTTTATAAAGTCAATTTATTCTGTTCTCTAAATTTATGTCGATATCATAGTTACTTGAATCATATTTTGCATGTAGTCATTGGATTATGTGATTGACAAATTATACTTTTGAGGACTTTTTTTTTCTTTTATAGTTATAAAACTAATGTAAAAATGTTATACTTTTTAAAAATAAAAAAGAAAACGACTTTTTATTCAAAAAGTAGGAAAAACTAATGTTTAATAGCGATACTGTCAACAACAAATGTGTAGTAAAATCATGCTAATACAAAACATATGCATAACCACGCCATACCGTTGTTAGTTTCTCACCAAATTCAAAACACCTATTATTATCAAAGTATACAGAATATCACAGCCATAACCTTTTTTATAAGCAAAAGAATGCATGGCATATCCCCAAAAAACATGCACTTTTTAAGACAAAAATAACTTTCAAGTAAAAAGAAATAAAATCCAAAATCTGCTACAGTTAATTAGTTAAAAAAAATTTAAGCTGATGCACCATGTGGAAATTAATAACTTCCAAAACTCAGCAAAAACAGGCATTTCCATAATATCCAATGTTCAATTCTACTCCAGATGTTGGAGATCATAAACATGGAAATACTAAGATGTCAACCTAGAGGAATAATGAAAAATGCCCCTGACGAGGACTTATACCAAATAATGTTGCCCCTTCCAGTTGTGAACTTGTGGTGATATGCAGATAGATAAAATAGGTAGAGTATGATCAGGTCTAGCTCTTCAACAATTGAAATAAAAGCTTTCCACCGGGAGCCTCACTCTGAATCTGATGACTGAATACCATGTCGCTTGAAGAATTCTCTAAATCCATAAGCACTTAAATCGTAGTTGAACTGCAAGTGCATAAAGAAATTGAAATTGGAAAAAATATTACAACATCTGACATATGTAAGTGAATATATTTGTCAGGCATGTACGAAATTTTGATAAGTTTTCCAGTGACTTAATAGTAGATTACTAGACTTACTACCTACGTATACACTTATTGTATACATTTGCTTGAGATAAAATTTTAAACAACAATAGTCAGTAATGGTTATCACAGTTAGCATGAAAAGGGATTCTCAAGATGACATCTAGACTTGATGAGAACAAAAACAACGTACTGGCAAGACTTTCACACTGTATTTATTAATATTCGGATCAGCTACCTTTCCCTGATTAGCTGCCTGTATAAAAGAACACAAGTCTCAATTTACAAAAAGAGTTACTTGGCGTGGTAGTCACTGAAGAGATTAACCTATGAATAGAAACCATATTACTGCTGCAGAATACATCCTTTCTGGTCAATCATTCCATTAAAAGAAAATTTTATCTAACATTTTCCTTCAGCAATTTATGCAATGAAATCATGAGACAGTAATGAACAGGTAAGGAACACCATACTTGTGTTGGACTGTGAAATATTTCAATGAATGGATACTCCTTTTTTTGCCGAGTTAGACAAAATCCAGGATATTTCGGACATTCAACCTGCAAAACACCAGAACATAACCAGTTCACCAATGCTCAATAACATTCTAGAGAGTTCACAGGACATACATAACCCAAACCCAAGAAAAAAATAATAATCACGCAATAAAATACAAAGGAAAACTGACAATAAGAGATGAACTCTCCTATGTGAGTACACGCCTTTTTTGTGATTCTAATTCAATCTAATGAGACACGTGCTATGCTGCATCATGAGATATGTTACGATTGCCAACAGTTGCACGAGCACATTAATTATGAAAAATAACTTACACGCATAAATTTTACATGAGGATAAAACTCAACAGCAGCTTCTTCTAATACTTTGTCAAGATGCCGTGTGTAATTCCCCCTGCATTATCAAATATGTAGTAGTTATTACTTATTTTATTAGTAAATCTTTTCACTTTTCCTATCATTAAATCTAAATTCAAGTTCAAATAGGTGAAACCAAATAAGAATTCAGAAGCTAACTCCAGATCACCTGATAGTGAATGCAACAACCACAGGAAAACCTTCATGAAGGAGTGTGACAAACTCTCGCTCAGAGGTAAAATGAACCACCCTGGATGGTCCAAGATCCTTGGGATAACCAGTGTAGTACCTAAAGTTATCTCAAAAATTCCATGGAAATTAACACCTTAGAATATCAGATAACTTCATTACAAAATGAGTCGCAAAAAGATAAGCGAAAACCAAATAGTGAAACAAAGTTATGCACAAGTAATCCTCACTTGGAAGAAAGTACAGATTACACCAAAAAGAAATAAAGTTATCCACTCTCAAAAGACCCAATTAGTGAAAACCTATACAATTATGCTAAACAAAATATTTTTTAGCAAAATATGCACAACCTATCAAGCAGCTTAATGGTACAAATGGGAAAAGATTCTCCCATGTTCCCGAAGATGATAACATATTATATTATATAGGAACTAAAACATGATTTCAAAATATCTGAGGGAACAAAGTATATTTTATTATTGAAAATTTCATGAATCAAATTAATATAATTACATTACACTATAAATATGACTAACAAAAAATTGTTATATACAGCAAGTTAACATTGGCAGTTAAGCATCATATGCACGAACTCATACTTGCAACTTGAACGGAGATGACTGATCATCCGATCAAAAAACGATGGATCTTCCATTACACAGAGTGAATGCAACAGGCTAAACTATCCAGTCCTGAAAATAAACACATATTACATTAATCTCAGGTACCCTCTTATCCAAAAATAATAACTAACTAAAATCATAGGCAAATAATTCACACTTGAAGCTACACCACAAGGTCAGGTATCCAATTAAACACGCAAAAAGCATGAAAATGCACTATCAACCCCACTAAAACCCTTCTTGCTTAATTTCTACTATGAGCATAACTCTTTATATAAAAGAAGCATTTTATCGAATACCTAGCGAGCATTGGACGGAATGTTGTGAGAAAGAGAAAACGTATGAAAAGAAAAGAAAGTGAAATACAGAAACATGAGAGAAATGAAAAATTTTCCATGATAATTGGAAATTTAAATTCGTACGCTCACTTTGCATCACTTTTCCACTACCCAAACAGGGAATTGGACTATAGAGTGACCCTGACGAAGAAGTCTGTGCCGTAAGCTCTTATATACTTCGCCTTATATTTTTATTCCAACTTGCAAGAAAACTCAGCAAATCTTGTTGGCCCATGAATGTCATATTTGGGTCAGATTCGGTTTGTAAAATTCAACAAAACCTAATTTGTAAGGCTTCTGTCTCTCATGTTTTTTCCTATACCTTCATGTTTTTTAAAAATTCTAATTTTTGGTCTTATCTTTTTCAACCTATTATGAATATTTTATCTTGAGATGTTGATAATTCTCAATACAATCACATAATATATATAGAAAATGATAAAAAATACATAATATTATTAATTATAAATGACTAATTTTATGAGATTTTTTATTAAAATAATATTATTATATCATATATATAACAACAGAACCTCTCATGAAATTATTTACTTAGTTAATCTCTTTTATTGTTAAACTTAAAATTCGATTTCCCAAGTCCAACTTTAAACTTACCACTTTTTTAAATAACAAATTAAATAAAATATATAATTAAATTTAAAAAATTATATAAAATTAATATTAAAAATAAAATTTTAATTTTAAAATTTAAATAATATTTATATATAAAATAATAAAAATAATATATTATTTAAATAATTATTAAAAATATTAAATAATAAGTTTTTATTATATTTTTTATATATTTTTTTATTTTTGAATAGAAAATTTAAAATTTATATATTTTTTTATTATATGAATTATTTAAGTTATAATTTAAAAAAATAGAATAAATAAAAATTTAATTTAGGTAAAAAGTCTAAAACAATATATAGAAGCGTGCAACGTGACCAAACATGGAGAAATATTGAATCATTTACCCTTGAAGAACTTCAAAGAGATACTAGAAACGAGTAGTTACATTGATAACAAAGAAGAGAAAGATATACCAGATTAGAAATATTGTAAATTAATTTCAATATAACTTTTTTAATTCATTTTCATTTAAGTCATTTCAATTTTTATATATGTCTTTTATAATTAATCATTTTTCAATTACAAGGTATGTTTTATCATTTATTTCTATTTCAATAAGTTTAGTTTTTTTTAATATCATGTTCTATAATTTTTATTTTGCTACTAATAACTTATTTTTAATTTTACTTTTAATATTTTATATATTAAATTTATCAATTTTTTTCTAAAATTCTAACTTAAATAATTCATATAATTAAAAAAATATATAAATTTTAAATTTTCTATTCAAAAATAAATAAATAAATATATATATATATATAATAAAAATTATTATTTAATATTTTTAATAATTATTTAAATATATTTAGATAATTTAATATATATTTAAATAATATATTATTTTTATTATTTTATATATAAATATTATTTAAATTTTAAAATTAAAATTTTATTTTAATATTAATTTTATTATTTTTATATAATTTTATTATTTTTAATTATATATTTAATTTAATTTTTTATTTAGAAAAAAAGTCGTAAGTATAAAGTTGAAATTCGATTTACGGAAACCGAATTCCAAGTGCATCAAGAAAAGATGTCCAATTGAGTAAATAATTTTATGAGAGATTTTGTTATGTATATATGTATTATAATAATATTATTTTAGTATTCATAGATGAGAGAATTATGTGATTTTGAAAATAAGGGTGAAGGACTGCCGAGCTATATAATTCAAAAGATCATTTCATATTATTAGTTCTTGATAAAAAAAAAATATAGAAATGTGCTAATTGTAAAAATGCTACTTATTTTCTAATAGGAAAAAATATCGTATTGGTATAATTTTTTTTTTAATTCTCAAAATAAATATTTTTTTAAAATCATGTAAATAGATAAGTAGATAAGTCGTATAACACAACTGAAAAGAAAAAAAAATCGTATTTTAAAATAGGATTTTTTATTTTATTTCTAACATTAAAGTCTATTTTAAGATACCACTTTAAAAATTAAAATTGTAGATAGAGATAAAAAAGAAAAATCATGTTTTAGAACATGATTTTATATATATATATATATATATATATATATATATATATATATATATATATATATATATATATATATATATATATATATATATATATATATATATATATTAAAACACGATTTGCATAATTTTCTTTTTAAATATCCATTTTGAAAAGAAATTACATTGATGTTTTTCTTACCTAAACATATTTCACGGTTTCATTCATACATGTATAATCAGAAATACATTTTATATAATCTAAAATAGTAAAAATAAGCAATAAGACTTAAAATATATTTTAAAATTAAAAATTAGTTAAAATAAAATATTATTTTCAAATATAATATAATTTCCTTTATAAAATTTACGCATAAAAAAACAAAAATGTCCTTGTTAACTACAAAACACCCACCAAAGACTTTTTCTTAACATTAAAAAAATAAAAAAAAGTTTAATACATTAAATCTTTATTAAAAGTAATTTTTAAAATTTTCAATTTATAATGTTTTATATTTTTTTACTATACTATATTTTGTTAGAATCGCATAGCAAAATGTTCACGTTTAGGGACAAAAACCAAGAGGGGGGTGAATTGATTTTAAAAAAAAATTAGGGTTTTGAAAATTTTCCCAAATTTTTCCAATTAAAATGCTTGTAATGTAAAAAGATAAGAGAAAGAAGATTACACATATGATTTATACTTGTTCGGATTAAAAGACCCCACGTCCAGTTGTTAATCACTCAAAAAGAGGATTAACGCTGTCACTATAATCACAAGTTACAACAGATTACAAATTGAAAAAGATAAGGATCAGAAAACACCTCTCTTGAGTTACACAAGAGATGAACACCTCCTCTGAATCACAAAGGATGAACAACATTTTTTCCTAGAGACGGCACAACATATTATCCACCAAGAAACTCACTCAGTGATTCTTATCGCTTTTAGCTCACACTAGGTTTTCAAAAGCCCCTTTTTCTTCCCTACACAAAGTTCTCTATGTTAGACAAATGACATCTAGAGGAGGGGGGGTGAATAGATGCACAAATAAAAATAGATGTCAAATTTAAAATTTATTTGTGAGTCAATAATTTGTTAAAGCAGAAACAATAATATAATCAGGAAAAGAGAAAGAGATAAGGGAAAAAGAAAAGCACACAGAGATTTATACTGGTTCGGGTATAGCCAACCCTACATCCAGTTCCCAGTCAACTCTTAACACAAGAGTGACTCCCCATTCACTATCTTTCAAATTCAGTTTACAAATTACAATCAACTCAACAGAAGAACCAGTAAAAAGTAAACTAATTAAAAAGACAATTACCTCCTTAGAAACCCACTAAGGATGAACACCTCCCTAGAATCCCACTAGGGATGAACACCTCCTCTGAACAAATCAAAGGATGAAAAACACCTCCTTAGAATCCCACTAAGGATGAACCCCTCCCTAGAATCACACTAGGGATGAAAACCTTCTTTGAACAAATCAAAGGATGAAAACACCTCCTTAGAATCTCACTAAGGATGAACACCTCCCTAGAATAACACTAGGAATGAAAAGAACCTCCTTTTCACCAATGCAAAAAGGATGAAGGTAATAAAAATAAGAACAGACACACCTGGGTAATGGAGACAACAAATTGTAGAAGCTTGTAGAATGCCAATCTTTAAGAACAAGTTTGATTAACAATGAAAGCACAGAAGGCAGTAGAGAAGAGGGTTTTATCAAAAGGTGTAAAATATCTATGTTGCCTTGTTCAGAATTCTTTTCTCAAAACTGATTGAATGTAAATTGTATTTTCGAATTCTGTAATTGTGTGTTTTTGATTTTTCATCAAAACTTAATTAAATAGAAAAATAGCATCAGAAAATGGTCTTTGGACATTAATAATATCATAGAGAAAATCAGGATGTATTCAAAAACATTTATTCTTTAAAACGGATATATTTTTCAAATTTGAATTGCCATAATTGATTATATTACCAGTATAATTAATTATGATAGAGAAAATCATTTTTCCATTTCTGGTGCATCATAATTAATTATGACAGTGAAAAATATCATGTTATGAATTTTATCACACTTGTGCTTTGGAGGCTTATGCATAATATTACTTCATCAACTTGTACCTCCATATCTAGTATTCTAAGACTTTATCTAGTCTTCAGGAATCATCTTGGGCTTGCTTGAATCATCATCTTTATCACCTACATCATAAATTCAACTTGTCCTTAAATTCATCATGAATGGTGTTGACTTGAATGTAGTTGACTTGAATCATCATCAAAATTATCTCTTGGGAATGCAGGAACATTTCCATCAATCTCTCCCTCATTGCTTTCAATCTCCCCCTTTTTGATGATGATCAAGGAAACACCTTAAATGAATTAAAATGCTTGACTCTATATAGCCATCTCAAGATTAGCACAGATTTGTATCAAGTGTTAGAGTCTCTTAATCTCCGCCTGGATATATTAATAACAAGACTCTCCCTAACTCATATGAGCAAAGACTTCTCTTAACTTCCCTTGTTTAATTTAGATAGGAAAGAATTTCACACAGATTTTAATTCATCAAAAAATCTCCCCCTGTTTCATTGATAATCATAAAAAATATTATAAGAAAAAATCTTTTCCTATTTCACACAGATTAATATCATCAAAATATCTTCCTGTTTCATTGGTAATTATAAAAAAATATTATAAGAGAAAAAAATATACCTCTGTTTCACACAGATTAATATCATCAAAATATCTCCCTGTTTCATTGATAATTATGAAAAATATTATAAGAAAAAAGAAATCTCCCCCTGTTTCACACAGATTAATATCATCAAAATATCTCCCTGTTTTATAGATAATTA